GAAGCCCAAACGATCATGGATGAGCGGCCCCCAACCTCCTCCGGGTTTGGTCGTGTTCCCAATGATGGCATCTCCAGATATAGGAAGCCCGGTGAGGATCGCCACGTCTTTGAGGGTGATCGTCATTTCCCCCTCCGGAAGGTGGAATGTATGGGTTTCGGGACGCCATCGTTCCGCCATTGCCGTAAGCAGATCGTTATCGATCTCGATCCGCAAGAAATGGCGCAACATTCCCAAACCGGTCCTCGCTATATAGGGCTCCAACCTTGGATGCCAAGCGGGCAAGTTATTGGTCCCTTTATGAACCACGGGAACAAGAGATTCCTAAAAAAAATAGGAAAAACATCAATTTATTAGATTAAATAAAGCAAAATAAAACATTAGAAAATAATAAAATAAAGCAAGTCAGTTCATCAAATTACCGGATTGTTATCCCAAATGGCACGGGAGCGATGAGCTTCTTGATCGGTTAAGAGACTCGCATCCCTTGGGCCATAATGGATATACAATCGAGGATCGTATATCTCGGCACCCATCTATAAAAAAGTAATGAAATCAGAGATTGTTTTGATAAAAAAAAAATCAAATTGTTTCGATTAAAAAAAATCATAAACCAAAAACCTACACGAAGAGCCTCTTCGTCCATTATTGGCGGAAGCCGGACAGAGGTTCGACGGGTTTAGGTTTGTAAGGGACGGGAACTTAGCGGGACGGGGGCTTTAGGGTCAAACTCTAGTAATTCTTTCTGATGTGGAAGATCGGACTTAGCCGCAACCACAGAGCATACTTAGAACGAGACTAGAGCGGATAAATTGAGGGAGAAAGAAGTGAAATGTTTGTGGGGTGAGTTGAAAGTGAAAGGGGAAGGGGGTATTTATAGTTGGGGGAAGGGGGGAGGAGCTGATGCGCAGTAATTTTGGGGAAGCATTCACCAAAAACGGTTCCCCCGTCCACGTGGCGTGCTGTGAGGCGTCGGATCGTGGGAAGAAAACCACGATCCGCGCCTCACCGCATCTAACGGCCACGGTGAAAGCACACTGGCGCGGATCGCTGACGCAAACAAACACGGGGTATTCACCGTATTTGTCTAACGCGGTGAATACCCCGTGTCTGTCCACGTCAGCGACTTCACCGCGGCCAACAAAAACGGTGAAGTCCTCACCGTTTCTGATTAAAACGGTGATTCTTTCACCGTTTCAGTTTAAAACGGTGATGCATTCACCGTTTTAGACTAAGACGGTGAAGGCATCACCGTTTTACTTTAAAACGGTGAAGTTTTCACCGTGTTTATTAAACGCGGTGATAACCTTCACCGCCTTTGTCTAAAACGGTGATGCTCAAACATGTGTACTTTTGGAATTTTTTTTATAACTTATGTATTTTGGGAATTTTTTTTAATAATTAGTGTACAGTGGGATTTTTTCCCCATTTGTTCGGGTATGAAGAGATGAGGAAGAAGGGATTATTTTTTATTTATTTTATTTTAATTGTTAATTTTAATTTAAAAATAACAATCTGATGTGGCAGCTGACGTGGCGCATATGTGGCTTCCACATATGTGCCATGTAACCAAAAGTCAACATTTTATGGTTGACTGTTGGTCAACCGTTATCTATAACGGTCAACAAAATTGTCAGGACGTAAATGACACACAACTATCATACGTCAGGACACAAATGTCATATCTAATACTTTAGGACACAAATGACACAAAGTTAATAGTTCGGGTTTCCCAGTGGTATTAGCCCAATATAGTATGAACTATAAATTTGGCTCGGGTTGGTTGGTTTGGATGGTGAGGTGGAATTTGTTATTATGACGAACTGCGGTCTAGACGAATTTGACGGAAATTTAGATGGAAATAGACGATAATGACCATTTTGTTAGATGTCCAAACCTGTATTACCGAATAACACAACATGACCATTTATATTAACTACCCTCATATTATGTTTCTTCATCATCGTCACTACTGAGAAGCACGTGGATGATGATAATTAGCTGCACATGAAAAGGGATTAGTAGCGGCGGCAAAGCAAAAACATGAAGGCAGCTAGCATCCCGCACGAGATTATGTTTCTTGATTAGTAATTAAGTAATTAATTAGGACCACAAAGTGCAAACATAGGCCATGTTTATAGGCATGTCGGATGTATGCATGCATGCAACCGTTCTCGGCGGAAAACGATAATGCTGTTGATTATATTCGACAGACATAACTAGCTAACTTACAGCTTAGATAGAGATACCCATTGAAGTTGACTATATCGCTAGTTTGACTAATATGATCATGATCTACTTAATCTGTTCGCCTACGGGATAGTTAATTAATTAGTTCGCATTATGATAAAGCATGGGTTCCGTTACAAAACCCCTTCCTACAAAATTCCGGTTGTATTATTGTATCACCATACCATATGTGTGATACAATTATACATACATATGAGCATTTCTACTATGCTATATAGTATTGGTGTTATATTTCATGTTATGGTACAACTTTACAACTTGATGTTATACCATCACATAAAGGTAGGGGTGGCTATACGGTCCGGTCCGGTTAAATTGGCCCAAATTGATCCGGTCCAGTCCGGTCTTTTTGAAAATATAAGGACCGAAGATTGGATTGGATACAGTCCGGTCTTGATCCGGTCCGGTTTTGATCCGGTCCGGTCCCAATTCGGTCTTGATTTTACATTGAGATTGTGGGATTTGAGTGGCCTAAGGCCTTAAAGGGTGAGGAGTTGGTTAAGTTTTGTACTAAGTGCAAAGGTTTGTGACCGTTTATGCAAATTACCCTTAAGTTTTGGGTGTTGAGCTCTCTTATCCGGTCTTTATCCGGTTTTTTACCTCAAATCTAAACCCAAATATTGGATTGGATTGTTTACTATCCGGTCCCGGTCCAGTCTCAGTCCGGGTTATACGGTCCGGTTTCCGGTTTTTAATCCGGTCCCGGTCCAAATAGCCACCCCTACATAAAGGTACAAGTTCAAGTCGTACCATAAAAGAATTTGTACAAACAGTATAGGTATAATCTAAAGTTGTACCATAACGTTAAAAATACAATTTCAAGTTGTACCATAAAGGCAAAAACCTATAGCACCAATACTATATAGCATTGTAAAATTCTTCGCATACATATATGTGTTAAGGGTTATAGGTATAATATGCCCCTTTACTGTGACGTTTTATCAAACATGCCCTCTACTATTTTTTACATCAAACATGCCCATGTACTTTATAAAAATGATCAAACATGCCCTTTTGTTAAAATTTTCATCCAAAAACCGTTAACCAAGGGCGAACTTTAGTTTGGGCGACACAAATGACTAAAATATCCCTAATAAATTCACTTTAGATTTTTTTTTGGTTCTTTTGTATAATCAAATCGTTCAAATAATTTCACTTTGAAAAGACCCAGGGAAATAAAACAGGGGATAAAACTGAATTTTCCCTCCCATTTGCCGATGTCGGGTCGTCTAAATCTCAATTCAACCATGATTGACGATTTTTTCAATGAAAATGTTAACATAAGGGCATGTTTGATAATTGTTTCAAAGTACAGGGGCATATTTGATGTAAAAATTAGTAGAGGGGCATGTTTGATAAAACGTCACAGTAGATGAGCATATTATAACTATAGCCCATGGGTTAATGATGACTAGATCATATCTTAGTAGCTCATACATATCTAAGCATTTAATTACTACATTATATTTTTTCCTAGTCAAACTTATAAATCCTTCACATGATTTGAATGATACAGCATATATCTCAGCCGTTAGCTACTCAACTAGTTAATTAAATTGAAGTCATTTTTGGGAAAAGATTACAAAGAAACTAGTTTCTTAAACAAAGTTGATTTCGCTCCGATGGAAATGCTACACCAACGGATCAACTACTCATTAAAAGTAAAAAAGAGAATCTAGCAATAGCATATTCGGGATATTTTCTTTCCTTTTAGTAAAAAAACAGAATGAAAAACGTTATTCATAGGTTTCACATAAAATTAGCTAGTGAACATTTCTGCTAAAACATTTTGCGGTTCCTAGAAAGTCGTTGCTCTTTAGTTATTTTTGACTCAGTGGTCATTATCAGTAATTCAGTATGCCATAGAATGTCTCGCCAACAGAAAAAGTTGATTGTTGCCGTTGGGGGTTATTTGCTATTTAAGTGCACGGCATATTCGAAGATTCTCATCGAAAATCAAGCGATAGACAAACTGGAGATCTAAATGAGTAACCAAAATTACGTATTTCTGTATAACTGAAAATCAACTATCAAATCAATCTACAAACTAAGACCAGTGTAATTTTTTCCGTACCTAGTAGAATTTAATCAATTAAGTGAGGCCAATGATAACTGAACTTCCATAACCCAGCTGATTCTCTTTATATATATATATAACACAATACAACATATACATCCAAAAAAATAAGTCAACCATGCATATACATACATATATGCATTAATGATGACTAGATACAGTCAACACCAAGTAATAAATTCTCTATGATATTGTTTATTTTATTTCCATATATCTTAGTAGCTGATACATATCTAGGCATTTAATTAGTTCATTCTACTTTCTCCCTAGTCAAACTTATAACCTCCTCCTGATGATTTGAATGACACAACCCTTGTTAGTGTTTATCACTATCTTATCATATATTACCAATCATGAAAATCAGTTCAAATCCGAACTCTCTAATAATTCGTGTTCATTTTTTGTTGAATCGATTATTTTCTGAAAATGAAAGAATCGATTATACGTCTCATCATCTCGTACCTAATATCAAATTCTCGATTCTCGGCTAAACACAAAAAAAAAAAAAAATCAACCAAGAGACAATTATAGTAAACAAGAACAACTCCCAACATAGAAGAGCAAGCAATTTACTAACACCTCAAAATTACAAAAACAAATTAAATACCAACTTTGCCCCTCCCTCTTGCTCCCCTCTCTATTATATATATCGTCTCTCTCCCAACTCCTTTCACTCGCCACTCCAACGAAAACCATAGGAGGAAAAACAATACAAACAAACCCAAAAAAGAGAAGAGTTTCATCAACAGATTTTAAAAACAAGGAGAGAACATGGGAGGAAAGAAGCTTCACAATCACAACAACAACAATGGCGCCGTTGATACCAATAGCAACAACTCCAACCGCAATGGTACAACAACAACAACGGTGAAGCCACCGCCGGTGACTCTCCAGCAGTCCCCCATCATCAATCTTGACCGGTAAGCCAAATATGAATGCCTCTTTTTTTTCCATCGTTAATTCCTTCGCCCTTGAGGCTCATATTTTCTAAACCTTCGTTCCTCCCTCTCATTTCACTCGAGCAATTTCGTTTCACATTACATATAATTTTTTAACAAAATGTGGGTTTCTACGTTTTGCAGCGGGGATCCGTCGGTGTTCGAGCCGTACTGGAGGAAGAACGGCGGCAAGTGCACGATCACGATCTCCGGCCACGATTCGCTGAGCTACTTCTCCGACCCGAATAGCGTGTGCTGGTACATGGAGCCGGAGCTCCAGGAGGCGATCCGGAGGGTCCACCGGGTCGTGGGGAACGCCGAGACGGAAGGCTGCCACGTGGTGGCGGGGACGGGATCCACCGTCCTCTTTCAGGCGGCGCTTTACGCCCTCTCCACCTCCTCCTCCGTCGCCGCCGAGCCCATGAAGGTCGTCTGCGCCGCTCCTTACTACTCGGTGAGCAAAACCCTAAGACCGTTCGATTTTGTTATTACGTTTTGACCTAGTCTATTCGTGGGGGAAAAAATCTTTCACGAGAGATATTTTGTAAATAACATGTTTTGCATTGCTCGATCTAATTACGGAGAGAAAAGCTCCTAATTATTTTTTTTTTGGTATATTTGCTTTTGTTATTTATAGGGATCGAATTCGACACATTTTCGAAATTTTAATTTGAGATTTCATCTATACTTGTGATCAATCTGATCAAAATCACGCTTTAAAACTTAAAAGTTTATGTTTATACATTTTGGGTCACTAAAATGCTTTTATATAGAATAGCGATTTCGGATTACCAAAACGCATCTATATAGAATCGCGATTACCAAAACGCATCTATATAGAATATGGTCAAAATCACACTTTAAAACTTAGGATTTAATTGACGATTTCGGATTACCAAAACGCATCTATATAGAATCGCTATTTTAACTGCATTGTTTGTGACCGACATCTAACAATTGTGATTTATGAGATGTGCGATCTAATTAAAAATCAAACAAAACTGACTCATTATCATGAACATGCTGATCAAGTTGAATAAACCCATGTTAATGCTCCATAATTAATAGACAGGAGTGTGAGACAAAGAGACAGAACATGTTTGTTAGAAACCCATAGGAATTTTTAGGGAAATGGGAAATTTGCATTTGCCTGGAGAAACACATATGTATATTTAACATAAGCATGTTTCAGATTCAATTCTCAATATAAGAAGCAGAAATGAACATGATAACATGGTCATGTCGCCGTACCAATTAACACGTAACAGAGAGTTAAGATACGAAATTATTTGATTAATTTAATTTAATTAACGTTAAATTAATTGGATATGTTTTTTTGTAGCAATACAAGGAGCAGGTGGAGCTGTTGCAGTCCCGGCTGTACGAATGGGGCGGCGACGCTGAGACGTTCGACGGCAGCGCGGCGCCGTTCATCGAGGTGGTGACTTCGCCGAACAACCCGGACGGCAGCCTCCGGGAGGCGGCGGTGGCGAACAAGACGGGGAACGGCAAGCTGATCCACGACCTGGCTTACTACTGGCCCAACTACACTCCCATCACCCGCCCCGCCGACTACGACATCATGCTCTTCACCCTCACCAAGTGCACCGGCCACGCCGGCTCAAGGATCGGGTAAGAAAGTGGTTAACTATTATATGTAGATCTCTCTCGAAAAATTCAGTTATTAGGACCAATTGATTTATGACATGGTATCTGAGTTGATTTGTCATTAAGGTTGATCTTTAAGTCCTCACGGTACTTCAATTACATGAATTGACTTTCGTTTAAAAAGGGTATAAAAAGTTATTAAAAATCATACATCAACATCTCTTGATAACTTGAGTTATTTGGACCAGTTCGTTTATGACCTAGTCCAGACATTATTGAACAATGACAAAATATTATGCATTTGTTCGTGTTGCTTTTGATAATAATTGTATATAATTCATAATTAAACCTCTTTTAGTAAATCGAATTATTAGGATCAATTGACTTATTACATAATATCATAGCCTTTTTATAATAGAGAAGTCTTATGTTCAAAACTCGCTCGATGACCTCATTTGTTATATAAGTACACGCAACTCGAATTACCGACATCAATTCGACTTTTTTCGTGTTTGAGAAGGTGGGCGTTGGTGAAGGACGTGGAGGTGGCGAAGAAGATGACGACGTTCATGCAGATCACCACAATCGGGGTGTCGAAGGATTCCCAGCTGAGGGCCGCCAAGATCCTGGGCGTCGTTGCGGAGGACTGCGAGCAGCACGCCGCCGGTGCATTCGGCTACGCCGGCAACGACGCCGACAAGACCTTCTTCGGCGAATCCAGGAAGCTCATGGCGGAGAGGTGGGAGAAGCTGAGGGAAGCCGTCAAGGACAAAAAAGACGTTTTTACCCTCCCAAAGTACCCCAAACGATACTGCAACTTCAGTGGAAGATACTTCCAGCCTGCTCCCGGTAAAAAAAAAAAAAAAAAAACCTCGAATTAAAGTATTGTGTGGTAAGTAGATAATCGTCATTCTGAACATGTGATTCGTGTTGTGTGAGGCAGCTTTCGGGTGGCTGGAGTGCAAGAAAGGGTGTGATGCGTCGGCGTTGATGAAGGCGCACAATGTGCTGACGAGGGGAGGGGAGACATTTGGGGTGAGCAGTAGGTACACGCGGATAAGTATGATTAGTCGAGAGGAGGAGTTCGAGCGCTTCATTGAGAGGATTTCAGGGATCCAGTGTGTTGATGAGGAGGATGAAGAAGAGGAAGAAGGGTTCGTGGTGATGAATGGCGGCGATGTGATTCGCCTTGGGAATGGGAATTCGAATGGGCATGGGAAGTGGCTTGAACAAGTGGAAGTGCAGTGAATGTGTGTGCAGAAATTGGATAGATGGATGAGGAATGGAATTGGGGATCTTGATTGGAGGAGTAATAATTAATAAGTTTTTTTTTTTTTTTTTTTGTGTTGGTAGGGTTATGTTATAATGTGGTGTGTATAGTAGGGGAGGGAAAGGTAATGTTATTGAGTTGTAGGGTTTGAAGCTGTAAGGATGAGCTTAAAACTTGAGTTTATGGGGCTCGTCTAAGGTGGAGTTTTCGTAGTAGTATAGTTAGGGATTTAGTTTCGGGAGTCCTAAACTTAGTGTATTATCGACATAAAAAAATAAAGTTTAATATAAATATAAAATATTATAATTTTTGTTATTATATCGTAAGAATATTTTATGAGATGCTTATGGTTTAAAATAAAATTTTGTATAAAGTTCTGCTTAATATAAAATGATTAAATTATTAATTAAAAGTTAATCATGCATTTGAATGTGTAGCATGTTATTCAACCCTTTTGTAACTGAAAAATAAATGTCCATCTACGCTAGAGTTAGTTTAAAAATAAAATTATCTAATCATTATATATCCAAAATTGTACTTCGAAATGTGAACTTACGAGTTGATGAACTTCGTTAGTTTGAAGTCACGACACATCATCCCTAGAGGTCTAAGGTAGTGTGCATAACAAGAATCCAAGAAGAGACAGAACCAGATTTTTGCCCTACCTTATTTCTAACCTTTATAGCTCTATCTTTTTTTGCTCTCGAAGTCATTCGCCTCAAACTATTTGGTATTTCGTGGATGACAGGACAAACCCTCTCCATCCTCACTCAACTTTGCTTTCTGCCATAGGGTGCATACTAGTAGCGCAAGATTGGTTGGTTTGAGATCTCATACATATCACAAAGGGAATAGAAATGTTGGATCAAATCTTGACGCAGTCTCGCTCGTAGGGCTGGGAAATGGTGCGGTCTGGTCTATACGGTTTATGGTCCAGACCGAGAGGTTGAAGTATAGACCACAGACCATACCACAGAATATACGGTCTGGTTCGGTCTGGTCTGGTCCAGATAGACCACACTCAACGAAAAATGAATAATTTGTTTAGTCAACCACACAAAAAATTGAACCAATAACCAAGAAAAATCATTGTTATTTGCCTTAAAACATTAATCCTAACATGCATGAATAATTTTTATACCCTAAATCTTAGTACATAACAAAGATACAAAGTAAAAGCATCCCAACTTGCACCATAACGTCATAAACATTAACATAATGTCATATGGAAAGACGATTATCTCTACTCTCTAGTTAAATGTGGTTGTGAATGAGGAGGGACGAGATTCACAAAATTAAGGTTGAGACTTGGGTGTCATTGTGGGAGTTGGGAGAGTGGTTGAATGGGCTGTTAACACGTATTGACAAGTCGGTTGAGTCCACGGTTTGGTCCGCTAAACCGCGGTCTAGACCAGACCAGACCAAGAGATCAAAACATAAAATAATACAGATCATGGACCAGACCAGACTTAACGGTCTATGGTCCAGACCAAACTATGCGGTACGGTTTGGACCACGGTTTTTCTAACAGTCTGGTCTATTTTCCCAGTCCTACTCGCTCGTACCTACTATATGCATGAGCTTGTGATTGTGAACCAACCGCAAGGGGCTAATTAATATGGTTGGAGATGATGTGGGAATCAAATTAACCAGAATTGTGGTGGCTCGGTCTCAACCCCTTTTCTGATCTCTCTCGCCTTATACTGTAGCATCAGATTAGAAGCATAAAAAAAGGGAGCCAGAGTAAGCACAGAAGCTTCACTCTGAAGCACAAAAATATCCATATGCCAATTGCCAAATCTACAGCAAGCACAAAATTACACAAATGTTCCGCTGGTGGGTCGGCTCATCGTGATTTGGTGACCAGAAAAACATAGGAAGAGCTTGAAAAGCCGGAAAATTAACCAGAATTAACACATGATTTCACAAGTGGGGTGAGATGGCTATTTTAAGCAGCAGATATTTCTTGCAAACCAAGAATTAACAATGGCCCAGCAGCTAGCAAACATATAGGTTCGCCCTTCATCATCCAGGTGATTTTTTTTTATACGGAATCCCCAGAGTTTTCTTCAGCCTTTTGTAGGGACTTGAATCGCGATATAACACAGCTTTCAGATAAGCCGGAGTTCATACTCACCCGCCATTGTTATGTATCTCACCCATGGAAGAGCTTGGTAACCACTCTTCTCAATGATCTTCAGGTATCGAACCTGAATATTATGGTACAGGTGAATTAGATAAAGCAAATAGCCTTAGCTCAGCTGTATCCAGGAATCAGTGTATAACCAACATTTCCAATAACACAAACATAAAAGCATGGAACTGGGATGGACCTATGATATAATACCATTCCTCAAGACAACAATGAGTACTGATTCTGCTCTAACAACCTAATTTGAAACATTAAACACAACAGAATTTAAAAACGAAAGTGTAAGTGATATCTTGTTCGGGAGTCCTACCTGGATTCCTGAAACAGTAAAATATGGTATCTCGAACTTCACGCGTATAGGAGCTTTTCTCTCCGGCGTTGCTTCTTCAGCGGTTATGCTGGGAAGATTGAATTCTGCCCTCAACATATACTCCTGAATAGCGCAGTTTGTTAGACAGCTACTAGACAGAATACAGAGTGCCTAATATATGAATGACAAGATACTAAACCCTTTCTAGCAACTGAGTGTTTTTAATTGGCAAGTATGCAGCACTAAACTCACTTCACAAACATAATGAACATTAATGAAAAACAAAATATCCATACCTTTCCGCCAGGAAAAGATTTTATTTTCCACATTAGAGCATCGCGTTCAGGAGCATATGATGCTGATCCCATTGACGTTCTGATGTTAGGATTGGAAGCATCAGCTGGAACAGGCAACTCAATTTCCACATTTGTTGCTGTGCTGTAAGAAATCAAGAAACTCTGGGAGATTCAGAAATAATTCCCATTCATAAACTGCATGAAGTATTGAGATAGGAGAAAAGAATATGCCTAACACAGTTCAATAAAACACATTAACAACTAAAGCCGAACAAGAGAATACCTTCGCTCTTTGAACTGACTTCTAGCCTTTACCACGATCTCAACCCGACTTCTAGAATGCTTTTCAACTTGAGCTTCCACCCAAACCAAAGGCTTGACCTGAAAGCAAACAGCATATTTTTGAATGCTGCTTCATAAGAGAGCCCTAAGAAATTAAAAAAAAAAACACTCAAAGGCCGTACCTGAGTACTGAGTCGGTATGTCATCAGATCAAAAGATCCATCAGGAGGTATGAAGGATATAGTTCTATCATTCTCAAATCGAGCCAAGCGCACACACCTAGTTAGAAGGGGCATTTAGCTCACGTTATCAGTCAAGTAATAGTTCAAACTCTCGGGTAAGTTGGTAGCATCATAGAGAGATAACGAATTTCGACAGCTAAATGGATTTAAGTAGACTTCAGATCAGGTAGCATACTGATGAAATTTGATATCTTCCAAATCAATGGCCTTTCCCTTTGTTGTTCGACCTTGAGCCTCCAACAATACTCTATCATTTAGGCCAAGCTTACACTCAGGCATACCACTGCAACAAGTGATCGAGCCATAACATTAGCCTTTGCAACCACGGCGAATAAAAAAGTTGACATTAGAAACACACCAATCAGAAGATCAGAGGCTCCAGCCACGCTGGGACAACTAGACACCAACCAGATATGCAAAATAAAGTCTCATATTCCAGGACCAGGTATTAAAGGGATCAGATGCATGTCTACTATCTTCGATGACCCATTACAAGGCCACCCCTTGAAATTATGACAGAATTGCATTGCTGAAAACATCACACTACTGGCCATTTAACAAAACCAATCAACATGACTAGGGAAACTATTTCCAACTGTAACTTCCTGTGCAACAGTGACAATAAACAGACACATCTAACAGATAGCATGAGAATTCTGCTAATATGATTAACAATCTACTGTAGCAATTCTATGACATTCAAAAGCATACTATTGCTTCAATCGCCATCATCAGTCCAATGCTTCACTAAATCTAGATTATGGAACGGCTACAGATAGCATGAGAATGCTGCTAATATGATTAACAATACAGTGTCAGCAGAAATTACAAGGTGCAACAAAACAAGGCTGAAAAATTCATACGCCAGAAACCAACAAGCACTCGTATTCCCAACTCTCACACAAATACGATCTGTGAGAAGTTCAACAGACCAGATAAATATCATAATTTGGGACATTGAATGGCTTCCACAACAGTGATTTCAAACCAATCAAATTATTCAAACACTATAACAGATTCAAGAGAAGAGACAAACCTCAAATAAGTTCTCATCTTCAATGCTCCAACAACATCTGATCTTATTACTTGTCCATTACTATTAACAAGTATGTTAACACTCTCCACGACATCCAAGAAAACCTAAACAAACAAGGACAAATTATTACTTCAGAAAACACAAGGAAGCACCAAAGAGGAATGTTAAAACAAGAAAGGGAACCACCTCATTTTTCTTGTATGTGATCCCCTCACTGCGCCAGGACACAGCATTTGTCACAGCCATCGGAGGCCTTTGTGTAGTTTCCATCCTGTAGGCATCTGTCTTGATGAACTCGCTCAGAATTTTAGCCTCGGTATACTGAGGATATCCAAAGTCCATCATTTCATCTAACAACTCGTACTGCAAAGGAACCCAAGCACTGCCGCTGTCATCTCGAATACAACCAGAACATCCAGAAATTCAAACAATACACTCAATTGGAAGTCAACATACCACTACAACAAAGTTATCTCTCAGTGACTCCTCTTCTAATTCTTCAAAATAATGCTTAAAAACCTGCACAAGAAGTGGAATCAGGAACGACCTGTAATAAAAACCCCTTATAGAATCCAAGACTTCGTGCATCGCTAAATCAATAACATTGTACAAGCCCGCATTTAAATTGCAATGACCATCAGGAGAAGACTTACATCAACTACACGGTGCAGAAATGTGAGAAGGCTGGCGGCATTGCAGTTCTGCCGCGCAGCCGTCATAAGGTAAACGTTGCTGTGCTGAATAAACATGTAAGTGACTCCATTATCATACACAACAGGATCTTGCGACTGAGGATCTCCCTGAATTGATCAAAATCCAAAATCACCGAACCAATCCACACGCACGATTTGATGAGACGAGAGATCTAACTCTAATTAGCTTAAGCAAAATCCTACAGAAATCAATCTCAATCGCTTCCCAAGCAAAGCAAGGAAAAATAAAGAGAGACGCGAACCTCTTTCTCAATCAGCTTGGTGAAGAAGCGCTCGGCCTGGATTGCGGTGACATCTCCACGGTAGTCGCGCCACACCAGGACCCGGCCCTTTATGTCGAGGAGGAAAAGAGCCGAAACTGCTCCGGCCATTTGCGGAGAGGGGGAAATGAACTCGCTGTTTCCTTCGATCCAATCCCCTAAATTATGCTCAAAACCACCAGATCGGATATTTTCCTAAAGCGAAGGTGAACGACGCGAAACGGTTGTGTAACTGCGATCCGATTGCAGGGAATTTCGCGTCGAGAGAGCAGCTGCGGCAGTTTGAATCATGAGAATCGCCGGGAAAACCGTCCCGGTCGCGATCCGCGACCACCGAAAAACCTTTTCCGAAGTGTAGCGTTGCGCTGGAGCTGTTCCTTTCTTCGGTTTCCGGCTTCTCACTTGTTTTTCTTCTTCTTGCGCAGCGGGTAGATAGCTGTTTGCTCGCGAGTTGAAGCCCAAATCGGTTTTTCTTTTTCTTTTGTCGACAACGGAGGTTTCAGGGGGAAATGGTTAAGTGGTGGAAGGTCTCATTTTCTTTCGCCATAAATTTTTACTAGTAGCACCGGGCTCGCCCCATTGGGTGGGTAATATTCGCACAATAATATTATTTGATAAAAATTAAAATATAAATCCAATTTATAATAGTTCATTGTTTTGGGTAAATACAATTTAGGGTATACCTACTATGACATGCATGTCATGGTGACATGCACTTTTCGGTCGACCTATTGCTGAAGGCGGTCGACCGAATCAACTAATTTGGGCAGCACGAGAAAGCATTGCGGTCGACCTCAACGACCACCTGGTCGACCGCACTTAGTTTAAGTTGTTATTTTTGGTCGACCAGAATAAAACCTGGGTCGGCCATTTCGTTGGCGTCAGAAACAACATGGTCGACCACCTAAGGTATATAGGTCGACCACTTGATGGCAGTCATTAACAAAATGGTCGACCGGATAAGGAAAGAGGTCGACCAGATAGAAGATAAGTGTTCTATCAAAGTGTCCAATTATTTGACGTAAAATCAAGATCAAGTGTTGGTTTCGCGGTCGACCTAATCCGGTACGAGGTCGACCGAATACAAGAAAGTCACCCTATGCCCCGTGTCTTTTTTGCTTATGTATGTCGATTTGTGTGGTTCTTTTAATCGTATAAATTATGTTTCAAACCATCATAATTAGGCATAAATAATTATAACAAGGACTCATCAATTCATAGCATAACAACTAAAAATAAAACAGAAATCATAATTGTTCACACATAAAATTAAAACTAAAAAAACAACAGAATAACAATCAACAATCGTTTTGACCACTAAAACACACAATATAAAAACTCATTTCTCCTACTCATCTCCCCCCTCTCTCTCATCCACATTTTCTTCATTGGTGGTGCTAGCATGATGGTGGTCGGATGTGGTGGGATGCATGTATCTTCCGCTGAAAGATCGCCACTCATCTCGCATCTCATTCACGGTCACCTGCATTGTGCTCATCTGGGCGGTCATTTGGCCCATGTAGTCGTGCATGCCAGTCATCTGGGTGGACATCTGGCCCATGTACTCGTACATGCCATCCATGCGCTCCCACACACGCTGTAAGGTGATCGGTGGAGTTGAACTCTGTGCCTCCGCCATTGGCTCGTCTCGAGCTCCTTCATCACCCTCATCATCATCATCATCATCATCACCACCATGAGCATTGTTTACTCTGACATACTCACCATTACGCAGCTCAAAGCCCATCTTTTTCAGAGATGAAACAGTATAGAACTCCTGCCTTGAGATTCTTAACCCCACCTCTTCACTTAAATTCACATTAAAATGCTCAAATAGCACAGTGAGGATCATCCCATTGGGAAGATTCCTGTTTGAACTCTCTGCAGCAGTAAGCATGTGGTTAAAGATCAAGTATGGCAAGTTCACCTTCTCGTTTAACAGTAGGTGGGTGAGGAGCTCCATGTCGAAGTAGGTGACTGTCTCCCGATGTCCACCCTTTGGCAGAATGTTGTAGGAAAGCATGTGGTGAAGAACTCTGGCTTGAACTGTCAGGTGGTTACTCGATGGCCTATTGCGCCCCTGAGCATCTTCCTCTTCATCAAGACCACATACCGTCTGGATTTGCTTGGCTCTCGTGAAATGCGTTTCATTCCAAGCACCGTAAGAATTGATTCTCTTCCCCTCGTTTGGAGCCTCAAGTACTTGCGCCAACACATTCTTGTTGATGCACATCGCCACCCCATTCACATAGGATTTGAATGCGTGAATGGATCCATTTGCATTTTTCTCGTAGACGATGTTGTTGTAGAAGTATTGTACCATTTTTGGGTAGTATGGTACATTGAGTGATATCACCTTCAGCCACTCTTGCTCGATGAAGGGTGCCAGAAACCCGTAATTCTCGAAATGAGAATACGCATCCGTCGTCAATGGCCTTCCAGGAGCCACCCTGCGGTTGTGCATTCTCTTCTCTTCATAGTTGTCACTTTGATCCTTGGTCTGGAATAGTTGGGATTCAACTCTTCCCATTCCGAACTTGAGGCAGCAGCTTTTTGTGACTTTCTTTTCTTATTTTTGCCAAACATCCTGCCATTAAACAAGCAAGAATACACGTTAGTCACATTTTCGAATTGAACAATACGCGGTCGACCACTCCATAAAGCGGTCGACCTCCGTTAGTTTAAAACGAGAATGGGTCGACCTCAGAAGAATCATAGGTCGACCTCAGTTAATTTAAAACGGGAATGGGTCGACATAAACGAATTTTTGCCTTCATCGGTCGACCTCAGAAGCATCATAGGTCGACCTCGGCTAAATTGAAACGAGTCTAAATTGGCCCAAATCCTCGTACCAATTGAGTGCAAAACAGATCCGGTCGACCTCATAATTAGAAGAGGTCGACCAGTGTTAGTTTCGCACAAATAATTCAAAGACAATTGCACAACTCAAACTTTTGCCTTCATAGGTCGACCTCAGAAGCATCATAGGTCGACCTCGGCTAAATTGAAACGAGTCTAAAATGGGCCAAATCCTCGTACCAATTGAGTGCAAAACAGATCCGGTCGACCTCATAATTAGAAGAGGTCGACTAGTGTTAGTTTCGCACAAATAATTCAAAGACAATTGCACAACTCGAACTTTTGCCTTCATAGGTCGACCTCAGAAGCATCATAGGTCGACCTCGGCTAAATTGAAATGAGTCTAAAATGGGCCAAATCCTCGTACCAATTGAGTGCAAAACAGATCCGGTCGACCTCATAATTAGAAGAGGTCGACCAGTGTTAGTTTCGCACAAATAATTCAAAGACAATTGCACAACTCGAACTTTTGCCTTCATAGGTCGACCTCAGAAGCATCATAGGTCGACCTCGGCTAAATTGAAACGAGTCTAAAATGGGCCAAATCCTCGTACCAATTGAGTGCAAAACAGATCCGGTCGACCTCATAATTAGAAGAGGTCGACCAGTGTTAGTTTCGCACAAATAATTCAAAGACAATTGCACAACTCGAACTTTTGCCTTCATAGGTCGACCTCAGAAGCATCATAGGTCGACCTCGGCTAAATTGAAACGAGTCTAAAATGGGCCAAATCCTCGTACCAATTGAGTGCAAAACAGATCTGGTCGACCTCAGAAAAAACATAAATCGACCTCGGAAAATTTAAATCGATTGAAAGCCAATTGTGCTTTCAAAAGCCGTGCAGTTCAGGACATTAGACCACCTTGTAATGCACTCGAAGACACAATCGTTTATGTCTTCGAGTGCATTGCAAGATGGCCTAATCTCCTGCACTGCACGGCTTTTGAAAGTCACAATTGGCTTTCAATCGATTTAAATGGCCCGAGGTCGACCTCAATATCATCACAGGTCGACCTCAATAAGTTTAGCACAAATAAATCGAACTTTTGCCTTCATAGGTCGACCTCAGAAGCATCATAGGTCGACCTCGGCTAAATTAAAACGAGTCCGAAATGGCCCAAATGCTTGTAGCAATTGAGTGCAAAACAGATCCGGTCGACCTCATAAATAGAATCGGTCGACCAGTGTTAGTTTCGCACAAATAATTCAAAGACAATGGCACAACTAGAACTTTTGCCTTCATAGGTCGACCTCAGAATCATCACAGGTCGACCTCGGCTAAATTAAAACGAATAAAACAGAAATAAAATCGCTTGAAAGCCAGATGCGGTCGACCATGGTTATGAAAAGGTCGACCTCATCTGGCAAACAGAAGGACAAAGTCCCTCTTTTGAAGCTATAGATGTCCATAATATCGTAGGAAAACTTCACAGGTCGACCTCAATATCATCATAGGTCGACCTCAGTCTATACAACAAAAGGAAAAATCGCTTGAAAGCCAGATGCGGTCGACCATGGTTATGAAAAGGTCGACCTCATCTGGCAAACAGAAGGACAAAGTCCCTCTTTTGAAGCTATAGATGTACATAATATCGTAGGAAAACTTCACAGGTCGACCTCAATATCATCATAGGTCGACCTCAGTCTATACAACAAAAGGAAAAATCGATTGAAAGCCAGATGCGGTCGACCACGAATATGAGAAGGTCGACCTCATCTGGTAAACAGAAGGGAAAATCAATCTTTTAAAGCTACAGATCTAAACAATAAGGCCTGAAATCTCAACTCGAACTTCACCGGTCGACCTCAATATCATCATAGGTCGACCTCCGTCCATAAAACAGAAATAAAATAGATTAAAAGCCAGTTGCGCTCGACCACGATGATGAACAGGTCGACCGCTTCTGACAAACAGAAGGAAAAATCCCTCTTTTACATCTTTAAATTTTTTGAAAACAAAAAGAAGAAGACAAGAATCGACTCAAATAATAAAGAGGACTGAAAGCTATACCTTGTTCTTCTTCTAAGTGATGAGGATGAAGAGGAAGAAGCTTTCTTTGGGTTTTTGGAAAATGGAGTTTTTGGAAAATGGAGAAGAAGATGAAGGAGGGAAAGGAGAGGAAGAATGAGTGGATGTGGTGGGATAGGGTTCTGATTGTGGTGTAGAATGAGTGGGAGAGGGTTCCTTAAATAGAGGATTGGGGGAGGTTTGGGTGGATGTTGCAAACAAACCGGTTTGGTCGGCCGAATTAAATACGCGGTCGACCTCACTAACTTGTTCGGTCGACCGTGTGTGTTCAGGTAGACCGTTTTATTGCTATTGTTTATTTCAACCAACAATCAATTAACTCATAAATTATTAAGATAATTCGAAGAAATTACAATGCAATCACAGTTATTAAAATATAAATAAACTCATAAAAAACAATAGAAGAAATTTAAGATTGTTTTTTGGGACTTTGTTTCGGGCACTTAGGGCAAAAATGACCATATTTCCCACATTTCGAACACTTTCTTAAACTTTTGCCCGATGCAGTTCGTGCTGACTTGAATGTCCCCTTGGTCTTCCCAATTTTTGGATCTTTCACACTTCGAAGGGGTGCTGGAGGGTTTGCCGGTGTGGTGTTGTCCGTTCTCTCCCTCGCGAACTCAATTGCCCATTCAGTAAGGTCGTCCAACGTCTTAGAGACATGATTAAAAGCAGATTCACTACCACACGCGATGTCACATAAACGCTTACACTTTAGAGCCGATCCTCCATGTCTTATCAGTCGACCAACTTTCTCTGCCACATCACCTCCAACTCCAGGATGACGATTTAGTGTCTTCGCATTTTGGGTCCATCGAAGCTTGAACCACGACGAGGGTAGTGCGGTGTATCCCATATTTTTTTATTACTGTAAGCATGTGTCTGCATGGAAACCCCTTAGATTCAAATAATGCACACTCGCATTTTAGATCTTGATTGGACGTAGTAAATGTTAACCGCCTTATTCGATCTCGGTTCATGTAGTTCTTCAGTATGAATGTCTCTGTTCCATCTGATTCAGTTCTTCTCTCCGCTAATACATAAGAAGCTTCATTCTCTAGTTCAGACTTGAAGATAGCAAATGTACGATGAGTGTAGATACTTTCAGCTTGCATTTCCCAAGTGCGAAGGGCATGCTTGCAGACCAACCTCGTGTGCCTAGAAGTATAATCATCCTGCACCTCCGTGAAACGCATCCCCTCCAGTGCTTCATCAATGCCCTGAACAAAACGTTGCAAGCTGTATTGAGTTCCCGCATACCCATTTATCCAATGGTTACATGACTCACATCGCGAGGTTGATTGGAGTCCACCGAAATAAATATCCTTCAAGTATGCCTCTGCCCACAGTAATTTGTAAGCGTACAAATCCTGCAACCACTTATTTGCAGACAAACCATGCTGACTAATCAAATGCTCCCAACGCCTCTCAAACTCCTCAATCGATATTCGTGCTTTCGCCAAGTAAGTGAATGCGCTAACGAACTCCTTATTATGAACGACCGTTGTCGCATTTGTCTCAATATGCCAAATACAAAGACGGTGAGGCACTCCAACCAGAACAGTAGCAATGGCACCACGCATAGACTTGTCTCCGTCTGTGATCACTGAAGTTGGCATCTTAGAGTTCATACACTCCAGAAAAGTATTCAACAACCAAACATAGTTGGGGATTGTCTCGTTATCCAACTGGGCAAAACCATATATGATGTTACGGTGGTGGTGATTTACACCAACCATCATAACAAATGGTCGATTGTACTTGTTGCGCTTGTAGCATGCATCGAACGCCAAGACATCCCCAAAAAAATGGTAATCTCCTCTAGATGTGGAGTCCGACCAAAAGAGATTGCCTAATTCACCTTCATCGTTGGTTGTGTACTTGAAGAAGCTGTCTGCATCAGAGGTATGTTTACTTTGCAAGTAACCCAATGTTCGGTTAACATCTCCTATTAGATCGTCGTCAACTGTTCGGGATTGCTGAACAGCATTGTCCAAATCCTTTGGAGTATACCCCAGATTCTCATATCCTCCAACTTTATTCTTCATGAACTGAACAATGTTGCGTTGTTTTATTCCTGACTGTCGCATCCCTATCGCCAGAGCCTTGTCTCCTTCACTCACATTTCGATGAGACCGAAGGAATTGAGTTTCTTCTTCATTGCAGCAACGATGTGAGTGCTTCCTCTCAAACTTAGAAACAACCCACATTTTCTTATTCCGATCAAAGCGTACAGTATACGATGCCTTGCAATAATGTCTTGTCATCTTACGATGTTGTCGAGTCCGACCTTCTTTATCTATATGCATCGTATCTCTAGTCCCCTCTCTCGAACATACCATTGTCCTCCCAATTGCTACTCCTCGACGATTCCTCCGAAGATCTCTACGTCGAACGCTAAATCCTTTCGCTTTAGCATAGGAATCGTAAAATTTCTCTGCATCTTCTAATGTTTGGAACTCCATGGAAGGAATTTGTTGTTCATATTCAGTAGGTTCTTCATCATCCATAAATTCTTCTTCAGCACCCTCCGTTTCATTATCATCCCCAACCACTTCATCATCCGTATTATCTGTATCATCTGAATGATCCATAGCTCCTTCTCGAGCATCCTTAGGTTCCTCATCGAAGTTAACCTCATCATCATCTCTATCATCTGTATCATCTCTGTTATCCATCCTGCAACGATCGGAATACGAACTTAATTTCAAAAACATACACAATTAGCTCTCGTCAGGTCGACCTGAATGAACTGTACGGTCGACCTTATTACTAAATAACAAACTTGCGGTAGACCTGAATTTACTGAAAGGTCGACCAAATCATATAATTTCAAAAGTACGGTCGACCGGATAGTGGAGGTGGTCGACCGGATGGTGGGAAAAATTTAACCACATACAAGCATTAACAAGCACATACGAGACATACCTTAGCAAAGAGGTCGACCACTTATTGTTTCGTTCTACCGGAATAAAAATAAACCGCCACCAACACCCGATCACAATAAGAGCGATGAGATTACAACTTCACTCAAACAAATTGCATAAATTGAAGTACGAATAAAGTCTTAAGACTATCATCTATTTATAGATAATTTAGACAAATTCCTTATCCAATTGGTGAAAGTTATATAAAATCATAATTCGACAAGGACAAGTACACAAAATCCTAATTGTACAAGGACATGATTCATTACGGTCGACCTCTTTTTACAAATGGTCGACCGTCTTGGGTAAATGTGAAACAGGTCGACCTCTTTACACAAATGGTCGACCGTTGTTTATAAATGTGAAACAGGTCGACCTCTTTACTGAAATGGTCGACCGTATTTTATTAAGGCCAAACAGACGAGATTACATCCATATTCTACATGGTTTTTGACTTTGCTACGGTATCATAGGTCGACCTTAAGCGTCACGAGGTCGACCTGTGCTCTGCCTTTGGGTATGCCCGCTTTGAGTATGTGGTTGACCACTTGTTCTAGACGATTGAAATCGTAAATTCAGTCACATCCATAATTGTACAACAAATCTAATAAACGATAAACATTCAAAATCAAAAATGAAACGATCTCTCAAATACAAATTCAATGTATGGTCCAAATAATGCAACATTGTAACCTAACGACTTCATTTCTTTGCTTTTTTGTTTGAACTCTGTCTCTCTTTGCCTCGTTCCATGCATTCATCTACTACATGCTTGAAAAGATTTTCTCGTGCAAGGTTTTCAAAATGTGTAGCCAGATACCATAGAATCTCCTTTCGAGCCGGTAATTTGTGTTCTTCTCCTATCTGCATTATGCCATGTAAGATTTCGTTACAACTAAAAAAAGTGTAAATTAAACAAGTTATTTGTTTGACGATATACTCACCACTCTATCAAGATCCTTGGATCCATAGCGCATCCACTGCATGACGTGCACACCACACTCAGTACTATTCCTTTGCCGTTGAACTCATAGCTCATCAAAATTGAAATCTCCAAAATTTGGTACTCCTACATTGCTCATGCGCTCCGGTTTGAAAATATCATCCAAATTGGACAACTACACACAAATAATGAATATTTTAAGTTTCTAGCATAATACGTTACGCTTAACAGTCAGAAAATTATAGGAAACACTTGCCAATTTCTTGCATAGTGCTGATTTACGCCTACGATTCGCCTCACTAGTTGAAGGTAGACTCTCAAGCAAAAATGCAGTTTTTTGCTGGACATTGACGAGATACAGAAACCAATGACGTGCTTCATCGTCAAGAACTAGCATAAATATCTAGCAATGAAACACTCACTATATGTTATAAACAGAGAATACAAACAAATGCACTTTCGAAATTTAATGATATAGTGACATTGACTAGACTAACCTTCTGGCATGCACCGACATTCGGCATAAAGACCACGCCATCATTCATCAACTTGTTACGAATTTGTCTGGTCTTCATGTTAGCGCGTACCATTTTCTGCACCATGTTTTAGTTGAGATGAATTGACATGGTACAATATAAATAACTAGGTTATGACAAATAATTTGACATTACGGCTCTTACCGAAAACATATTTGGCAAATACCACACATTTGGCTCTTTCACATCATGTTTTTCAGACATTGTTAGTGCCCTTGCACACATATCCACTACCTACCATCCAACAATCAAACACAAAATCATCGTAAATCGTAACATAAATAGTGCACAATTCATACGAAAGTCGTAGTAGTATAGTACTTACTGATGAGCAAACCCAGCTATTCTCGCTAATGACCGAACTCAAATAACGTCGTTGCACGTTTTCAGAAAAAAAGTCAACAACGGTCAAACTGCAAAAATCAAAATAACAATAATGTCAATTGTGATTTGCAACGTACAGGTCGACCTGTTCACAGTCACGGTCGACCTTATTGGAAAAGCGGTCAACCTCATGACCTAAACGGTCGACCACACGTACTAAAAAACGTCTTACTTGTCCCAATTCTTGTCCCCAGCCTTCTCTTTAGTAACAACATAATACAAGTCTTCAATTGGATTTTGAAGATTTTTGGTGAATCCTTCTAGATCCTCCACTTTCATGACCTACAAATCATAGTTAAAATTAAAGTAACATATGAACACAAACACACATTATAGATGAATATGTA